TTTCGAGCCGATATGGCTCGACTCGATTCACGCGTCTTTCTACGCTGTGAAATAGCGCAATCTTCTTCCTCTTCTCCTTTTGCTTCTCGATCCCAACTCGGAATCGTAATCCGAGTGTCGTTCTCTTTACTTCGACGAGTTTTTTTTCTTGCTTTTTTCTTACTTAATCGCTTTCTTCGTACTCTTCTTCGATATTCTTTTCCAAGTCGAATCGAGGTTTCGAAGGAAACGGGGAATACTCGTCGGCTGGTTCCTAGTCGAAGCAGAACGGATACTCTTTGTCGGCGGTTTGCTCGACGGTCGATTGGCAAATGCAACGGGTCGCGACCGTCCCGATTTGGTCGGGATCAGATTTGTTCCGGTTCGAATCAGGATCGAGTGTCGAACTTTCGATCGATCGGTACGAAAATCGGCCAGTCGGAGAGGGAAGGACCAAACGGAGCGCGGTGCGTACAGCCTACTGGAACACGCTTTGTGTACGGCACTTATATGCCACTTTACCGGTCGTTCACCTCGGCTCTCGTTCGAGCTCGGAGGTGTTAGCGTTATTTGCCTCGTTCCGCTTTGTCGTTATCATTCTAAGCGTCGTGCGTCGATCGGAACGGTGCGATCGTAACGCGTCACGTGTCATCGCATCGACCGTTTGTCAGATTCGTGGATTCGATGATCGTTCGTAGCGACTCGGCGAGCATAACGCGATGCGTCGATCGAAATGAAATAATAGGTCGAAGGGGAAGAATAGGGGAAAGAAAGCGATTACCGAGTTTCTCGATGGCCGATTATGAAAGAACGCAGCGCGACGCGACAAGCTGGCCGGGAGGTAGAGGAGAGAAGAAGAGAACATTTTAACGAAGTTTGCAAAGCAATTTAGGCGCGCGTTTCGCGATTGCGCGAATAGAGCGAATTCGAATAATCGCGACGAGCAGGCGGCGAAGGCGTACGCAACGAGTACGCAAGGCGGGTGAACGAGGGTGAATCGAGGAATTGGTAGGATCAGCGATTCGCGAGGACGAACGAAGAGAACGGTAATTTTTGCGACCGATACCGTGTCCCGTGTGGCATCGTTCGAACGAGCCACGCGTGCTCGCTAACCACGGAGAGTGTCGCGCTCGTTACGTAACCCTCGAAGGGATCTATTAGGCTGGAAAGCGTAATCGAGCTAGGAGCGACGATCGATGATCGGGGACGCGTATTCGTTTCGCTTTTTTCTCTTTTTTCCCCGCATCTTTTTCCTCGCATCGAAATAGAAGTAAACGTTGGACGTCGCGCTTGCTTCCCGATCGAAACGCGAACGAGACAAGCGAGTAAAAAACGAACGGATAGTAGGAAAAGAAAGAGAGTGCGTGGCAGGTTCGATTCGATACGCTAGAGCGAGCTTCGAAAATTTCGGCTGCAAAAGAGGTCTCGGGTTATCGACCCGTTGGCAGTGGTCAGTGATGGTAACGGGCGAGCAGCGATCGAGCAACCGAGTACACGAGCACGCGAGCGCACGAGCACACGACCAACCGGACAACCGGCTATCGGACAACCAGTTCATCCGTTCGATGCATGGTTCGGTCCTTCACCCGGCATTATCCCGAGCATTACGTACTCGCACGTATCGCACGTGCTCGCAATACGTCGCGTGCTCCTACCCTTGCACCCTCTGCGAGACTCGCGTGTCCCATACCTTTTGTTCGCGCATCTTTCTCTTCTTCATCTTCGACTAGTTTTCGGCCGATTAGCGCATCCGTGAATAACTCCGAAAGGTCGTTACGGCCCGAAGATTCCGAAACTATCGTCGGAAAGAGAGCGAGGAACTGTACATACCGCTTCTATGTGTAGAACATATGTACAAAGAGATATATCGTAAGCGCGTGTCGAGACGAGAGAGACGGTTTCAGCCGAGAGTCGGAGGTACGGTATCTAACGGGCCGAAGGAAGCTCTCAAAGGGGCTATCCGTGAGGATTCGGGAGACGGGCCGAAAGAGGAATAACGGACAGTCGAAAACCGCCTCGTCGTATCGGAACCGAGTCGGAGTCCGTTATTAGCCGTTAGAAAGGAAACCCGCCTCGAAGGTGGATTATGTGCGGGCGTAGGTATCGCTAAAAAGTCTCGGAGACACGGACCCGTTTCTTTCATCTCGTTCTCTTTTCTCTTTTCTCGCGTTCCGCGTGCTCAAAGTTCGCTCCGCTTCCCTTCGACCGCTCCTCAGTTTCTGCTCCGAGCGTAACGATCCTTTTCGTGCTGGATCGTGATCTATACACGCGACGATTTAACGAGACGCGCCTATTCGTGATTCCTGCTCGTCGACGAACTGGATGGATTCTGCTCGGACTCGAGGAGAAATCGAGGCCGCGACGAAAGAGTAATTCAGTCGGAACGAAAAAGGTACGAAGAAGCTCGTGTACGCGCATAATCGAGAGGAGTCGATTAGATATCGGCGAGCGGTCGATCTTTGCCCAGAATCCGTCGCTAGCACGCGACGTAATTCGCGTTAATACACACCCGTGTCGTTTCGCGCGTCTCGTGCTTTGCTCGTAGGTATGCAAGCGAGAACGCGAACGCGAACGAGAACGCGAACGAGAACGCAAACGGGTCGTACGCGGTTCGTATGCCCGTCGTAGGTTCTTTGGAGGCGGTAGGAGGTTGGAATCGCGAGGAGGTAAAGGAGGGAGTGGTAACACCTGGAATGTACGTAAGGTAAACGGCATCCGGGCAATGCCCTCGTATGTAAACAATCAGAAATTGCAGGCTCGATTACGCGAGCAAGTTGTTTCTCGCGTATGCACGCGTTCGAAGAATCGATCACGTTTACCTGCACGCGTGCTCACTGTCCGTAACAGTTATAATAGTACGAGAACGCGAGTGCACCGCATACCAGCTCTCTCCCATTCGCGTCTTTCTCTTATCTCGTTCGTTATTTACTATTCGTATTTTATTCGACGCGATTATCCGATCGGCTACTATTCGGTTGCGGAGTAACGATATCGACTCCGAAACGACAACCGAGGATCGATCAACGACGGGACGACGCGACGCTCGAAAGAAAGAAAAAGGGAGAACGTTGCCTCGAGTCCGATCGAAATCGCGAAAGCTGAATCCTGTTCTTCCGGAATAGTTTCGTTGTCGGTATCGGCGTTTCGTCCAATTTCAAGTTTCGCGATACCTGTAAAACATCTCGGACGTCGATATAGGTACGAGAGAACGCGGTTAACCGAGCGTAAGAACACGCGACGTTCGTACAATGCAAGCTTTCGTAGCTCGAACATTTAGCTCCAAAAGCGGTATGTAACGACGTCGATTGGCCCTGATCGAGCCGATCGACGATACCACTTTCCGATTTCGAACGAATTCTGCGTGTCATTGATTCGGCAGCGATCGATGAGTCATTTTCCTTTCGTCGCAGAATCCGAGTCGATGCGCGTATTCCTTCGATGCTTGGTCGCGTTAGCGTAGTTTATCTCGTCGAATGAAATTGCTAATATAACGCGTTTTCGTTCACTCGCGGATCAAGAAATTTTCTTCGATAGATAGAGAAAACGTAAAAAAAAAAAAAAAAAAAAAAAGAAGAAACGTCGGTAAAAACCGTTGATTGGACGTTTGCCATTCGACTCGAACGGGCCAAGCGAATCGAATTTTGCCAAGTGTAAGCGACTCTTTATATAATCGCGTTGCAGTCGGATGACTTTGTAAACCGACTCGAACGATTCGCACTCGTTCTGAAACGCGGCAACAGGAAACCTGGAAAGAGAATATACCTACCGCGTTAGCGCTACCTTCGCGAGAACCATCGACCGATTTCGATGATTTTTCAACGACTCCACGAGCCCAACTTATTTCCTTTCGAATATTTTCGCACGATATTTATTTGGCATAAACCGATAATGTCATTCTGTACATTGTACGAAAGGCTTTGTCGGTATCGCGACAGTGCAAAGATCATAGGAGAAAAGGGAAACGGACTATCGTCGTGGTCTATCGTTAATTTGGCGAAAACGGTACGAGATCGTAACGAAACGCTTGTTTCCCTTCGGACACGGAAACATCGTGATTCGAGGAGACATTCGGGTTGGTCGATACAGGGGATATTTCTGGTATCGTCCCTGGTGAAAACCGGACACGGTTATCGAGAAAGAATACGAACTGGGTCAATGACCGGACCGCGTCGAAGAACCGCGACTGTTCACCGAACGTCGAGTCTCCGACTCCGTGTCAGCGGTCGTCGCTAAACGAGTACGCGAGTAAGAAACGTCTCTTTAATCGTTCGCTCTTTCGTGCCGTTCGATTTCACGCGCGATTCTCTCGGCGCGTTGCCGTGATCGCGAGCAATTACGCGACCTTATGACCTTAACGACGGATCATCGCGAATCTTATCGCGCGTATCTCCTATCCCTGCGGTACAGAACGGCCTTTCGCGCTTCGTTCTTTTTCGTCGAATAACGAAAAGCAGAAGCGAACAACGAAGAGGAAAGGATAACGAAGCTGTAGCAGAAGCGGAAGAAGAAGAAGAAGAAGAAGAAGAGGACCAGGGCGAAAATGTGAGAAAGAGGAGCGCGAGACTAGTTGACCCGAAGCGAATCCTTTGCGAGTAAAACGGAGAGGCACCGTTGGGTTCGGTGATAGCGATCCCTCCTTTTCCTTCTCCTCCTGCTCTTTCACCTCCTCCTCTTTCGCCTGTTTCGTCTCCTTCTCCTGGTTCTTCTCCTTCTCCTCGTGCACCTCGTTCACTACCTCCCCTGCCCCCTCCCACTACAGGGTGACAGTTTCGAATCCCTGCAGGGGGCCCGAATCCCTCCCACCAAGGAGCGGCGGGACAGGAGACCTCGTGGTCTTGGACCAACGAGACGTAGGAACCGCGGAGTCCGCCTTCGCATCCTCGACTTCCGTCGATCCACTATCCTGAAGGAAAGACTCGTGCTCTACCCCCACTGAGTTTCGCGCGTCGCGGTATCTCGTTCGACGGCCGACGGACTACCGTCTTACCTGGCTCCTTCCGTTCGTTCGCGATCGTCTCCTGCTCCTCTTTGTGCCGTTGCCCCACCATATTCACCGACTATCGAGGGGCAATCGGGAGTCATCCGGGGGACCATTTAGAGTCACTGGGGGGCCGGTACTCGATGAGTCACTATATAAGACGGGCAAGGACAAGAAGGTGTATGTTAGTATACACTCAATCTTTCCGTGGCTCGCACGATTCACGAAGTAGCGAGCGCCGGTAAATTCGGCTGCGGCTGTGACCGACTTTTTTCTTTCTTTCATTCTTTTCCTTTCCTATCCCCTCATCTTTATTCCCTCCTCCTCTCTCCCCTTGCTCCTTTACACCCTCGCTCTCTTTCTCTCCTCCTTCTCCTTCTCTTCTTCCTCCTCCTGCTCCTCCTCCTCCACCACCACCTACTCCTTCTCCTCCTCCGTCATCTCCTCCACCTGCTCGTTCTTCGCCTCCGCCTCTCACCGCGCTCGATCCCCGACGCGACGAATTTTCTTCTTCACCGTTTATTCGCTTATTCCCATTACGCGTATACTTACGCACCCCCTCGACGACTTGCCGGAGGCTTTCGTTTCGTTTCCCTTGTCTCGCGTCGACACCTCCGCTATCGTCGCCTTTGTTCCGCGCTCTCGTTCTTCCTCGTTTTTTCAAACCGTACCCGATTTCATTTTACTCTACCTTTCCTTTACCTAACGACTTTGTTTCCTCGTCGTTCGGTCGCTTCAGGACGCAACAGGTGAATTCGATCGATTCGATTCTCCGTTTTGCTTTACTCTCGCTACGGTTTACGCGTTTCGCGCGCATCTTCCTGATCATTGCACAATCGTACAATCGTACAATCGCCTTCGAGGATTCCTTGACAGGCCACCCCCCTACTCGTACTCTCCATCTCGCGCGTACGCGGACGTATACGGACTACGGACGCGTCGCACGCTCGTGGACGCGTACGTTCTCCATCTCGTTCTCTCTTCTTTTTTTTCTCCGCACAACACCCCCTTCTCCCTCGCCCCTGGCCCCTACCCTTCGTCCTCTTACACCCGGCCGGCCCCCCTTGTCCGTGCTTCTCTTCTTCGACGCGTGTTCCCCTCCAGATTATGCCCCACCAGCCCAATCGGCTTTGATACTTATAGCCGCGAATTTCGGAAGCTTCGTTTCGAGTAGGAAAATCGCGTTCGCGTTCGAAAGAGGTCGAGTTACGGAAATTTTTATGCGCCTCCGGTCCAACTTCGTACAGCCGGAGTAACGGAAAGGAAAAGCGACGCGGAAGCGAAACGAAGTCGAAAGGAGAAACGGAAGGACGGAAAAGGTGGCGAACGAGATCGTGTAAAAGTTCGAAAGGGTCGAGAAATCGGAGAGGGGAGAAGAAAGAGAGAGAGAGACGACGAGACGGATAAGGGGAGAAAGAAGAAACGGGAGCGTGCGTGAAGTTATCGGAGGGAATCGGTGCGAAGAACAGTAGCGCGAAGAAGAAGAAGAAGAAGAAGAACGTGAGAAAAAGGGCAAAGTGGAAAGTCGAAAGCAAGAAGATAGAAAAAACGCTGGATAGACGAGCGAGAAAAGTGTGGAGGAATCGAGAGCGAAAGGATCGGTCGGAAATAGTTTTCGATCGCAAGCTCGTGAATCGAAGTGTTGCGCGGCACGTTGTTCCGCTGCACGCCGCAATCGTTACATCGTAATCGAATAGCACGATGTTCGTCGAACACGCGGCCCAATGGGCCTGGAGGGCTATGGGTGGCACGAGAATCGAAGTCCTTTGTACTCTCCTCGTGTTCGTAGGCGTGTTGTTGGTGGCTAGGTGCTTGCAATGGCTTAGGTATGTTCGTTCGTTGCCACCTGGCCCGTGGGGTGTGCCCGTGTTCGGTTATTTGCCGTTTCTGAAAGGCGACGTTCATCTTCAGTACGGTGAACTCGCTAAAAAATACGGTCCGATGTTCAGTGCTCGGCTGGGAACGCAACTGGTGGTCGTTCTTAGCGATCATCGTACGATTCGCGACACGTTTCGACGGGAGGAGTTCACTGGCAGACCGCACACCGAGTTCATCAACATCTTGGGCGGATACGGTAAGCGCTAAGCGTGCACCAGCATCGCGTCGCGCGTGCCACTCTCGCTTTCTGATAATCCTAACTTTATCTCTCGATTCGCTGTCTTTGCGAGTTTCCTCCTTTCCCACTCTTCTCCTCTCTTTCCTCATTTTCGTTTCCTCTTCTTTTTTTTCTCCGCACAACACCCCCTTCTCCCTCGCCCCTGGCCCCTACCCTTCGTCCTCTTACACCCGGCCGGCCCCCCTTGTCCGTGCTTCTCTTCTTCGACGCGTGTTCCCCTCCAGATTATGCCCCACCAGCCCAATCGGCTTTGATACTTATAGCCGCGAATTTCGGAAGCTTCGTTTCGAGTAGGAAAATCGCGTTCGCGTTCGAAAGAGGTCGAGTTACGGAAATTTTTATGCGCCTCCGGTCCAACTTCGTACAGCCGGAGTAACGGAAAGGAAAAGCGACGCGGAAGCGAAACGAAGTCGAAAGGAGAAACGGAAGGACGGAAAAGGTGGCGAACGAGATCGTGTAAAAGTTCGAAAGGGTCGAGAAATCGGAGAGGGGAGAAGAAAGAGAGAGAGAGACGACGAGACGGATAAGGGGAGAAAGAAGAAACGGGAGCGTGCGTGAAGTTATCGGAGGGAATCGGTGCGAAGAACAGTAGCGCGAAGAAGAAGAAGAAGAAGAAGAACGTGAGAAAAAGGGCAAAGTGGAAAGTCGAAAGCAAGAAGATAGAAAAAACGCTGGATAGACGAGCGAGAAAAGTGTGGAGGAATCGAGAGCGAAAGGATCGGTCGGAAATAGTTTTCGATCGCAAGCTCGTGAATCGAAGTGTTGCGCGGCACGTTGTTCCGCTGCACGCCGCAATCGTTACATCGTAATCGAATAGCACGATGTTCGTCGAACACGCGGCCCAATGGGCCTGGAGGGCTATGGGTGGCACGAGAATCGAAGTCCTTTGTACTCTCCTCGTGTTCGTAGGCGTGTTGTTGGTGGCTAGGTGCTTGCAATGGCTTAGGTATGTTCGTTCGTTGCCACCTGGCCCGTGGGGTGTGCCCGTGTTCGGTTATTTGCCGTTTCTGAAAGGCGACGTTCATCTTCAGTACGGTGAACTCGCTAAAAAATACGGTCCGATGTTCAGTGCTCGGCTGGGAACGCAACTGGTGGTCGTTCTTAGCGATCATCGTACGATTCGCGACACGTTTCGACGGGAGGAGTTCACTGGCAGACCGCACACCGAGTTCATCAACATCTTGGGCGGATACGGTAAGCGCTAAGCGTGCACCAGCATCGCGTCGCGCGTGCCACTCTCGCTTTCTGATAATCCTAACTTTATCTCTCGATTCGCTGTCTTTGCGAGTTTCCTCCTTTCCCACTCTTCTCCTCTCTTTCCTCATTTTCGTTTCCGTTTCATTCCATTTTAATTCCATTTTAATTCCATTTTAATTCCATTTTAATTCCATTTTAATCCGCTTCAATCCGTTTCACCTTTATTCGATTTCTGCGTATTCTTTCGATCGCCGAGCTTTTGCGTTTCCTCGAGCTTACCAGATTCGCGCGCTCGTTCCGCGAGGTGGCTCGCTTCGATTATACCGGCTCTTACGAGTATTTCTTTCTCGTAGGTATTATCAACACCGAGGGTGCTATGTGGAAAGAACAAAGAAAATTTCTTCACGATAAACTCAGAAGCTTCGGCATGACCTATATGGGCGGTGGAAAGAAAATTATGGAATCGAGAATCATGGTGAGCGATACGTACTGGCCTTCGAAATCTCTCGTTTTTCTTGCTTGCACTTTTTCCTCGCTTCTATTTCGCTTCCCTTTCGCTCTATTATTTTCTCGTTCGCCTCTAGTCTATTCGAGAGTATATGTAGGAGAAACTGAAAGAGGTTTCGCGTTGAATTTTAGCGCGAAGTAAAGACGTTCCTTCGTGGACTGGCGTCGAAACGGGGCACACCGACCGACGTTTCGGCTTCGCTCGGAATGTCGATCAGCAACGTGATCTGCTCGCTCATAATGGGAGTGCGTTTCCAACACGGAGACGACAGATTCAAAAGATTCATGGATTTGATCGAGGAAGGTTTCAAGCTGTTCGGTAGCATGGCTGCGGTGAATTTCATTCCCGTGATGCGGTACTTGCCGTGTTTGCAAAAGATTCGAAACAAGATATCGGAAAATCGCGCGGAAATGGCAGATTTTTTTCAGAAGACGGTCGATCAACACCGCGCGACGTTCGACGAAAGTACCGTGCGGGATTTGGTCGATGCGTACCTGCTCGAGATCGAAAGAGCGAAGGGAGAAGGACGCGCGACCTTACTCTTTCAAGGAAAGAATCACGGTGAGCGTGCACGATCGATTTTGCTATTTCGCCACCCAGTTCTTTCCCACTCATTAATTACTTTTTAAATTTACGCGGTTTCTATAGATCGTCAGATGCAACAGATTCTCGGAGACCTGTTCTCTGCCGGTATGGAAACGGTCAAGACCACGTTGGAATGGGCAATAATTCTGATGCTTCATCATCCGGAAGCGGCAGCCGCGGTTCAAGAAGAGTTGGATCAAGTGGTGGGAAGATCGAGGATGCCCGCCTTGGAGGACTTGCCTTTTCTTCCCGTTACCGAGGCGACGATCCTCGAAGTTCTTCGCAGGTCGAGCGTCGTGCCGTTGGGGACCACTCACGCGACCACACGGTAATTATTTATTTATCGATTTAAATAAATCGATTTAAATAAATCGATAAATGGCTGCGGAAAAGCGGACGGAAATAGAACCGTACTATCGTTTCAGGGACGTGACGCTGCACGGTTACACGATACCGGCTGGAACGCAGGTGGTGCCGTTGTTGCACGCGGTGCACATGGATCCGGAGCTTTGGGAGAAGCCGAACGAGTTTCGGCCGAGTCGGTTTCTCTCGGCCGAAGGTAAAGTCGAAAAGCCGGAATACTTTATGCCTTTCGGCGCCGGCCGACGCATGTGCTTGGGCGACGTATTGGCACGTATGGAACTGTTTTTGTTCTTTAGCTCGTTGATGCACACGTTCGAATTGAAATCGCCGCAAGGCGCGTCCTTGCCGAGCTTGCGCGGTAACGCCGGTGTCACCGTCACGCCCGATCCTTTCGACGTTTGTTTGTTACCGAGAAACTTGAACATCATCGAGGATTCGAGCAACGATACGATCTTCGGTGCAATTTTACGGAATATCGGTAGTCACTGAAAAACGCGCGATTCTTCCCCACCCCCGCATTGCTTTGCACGCTCCAACGACGATCTACGGAGCACGGTAGTCGTTCCTAGTGCGACCCGATTCGATCATTTTCTTAACCATTCGCGCCTCTCGTCCGCTCCTACTTAGCCCCATCTAATTATTCCTTCCCGATTCTCTTGATCCTCCACGATTAAACGCGCCTCCGCGACCAACGATCGCTTTCTTCTCCCTTCGATTCGTACCTACTCCTTCCCGCGAGCTCCTACGATTCGTTTCTTCGCTCCCGGTTTGCATTTTATCGCGCGTACTTGTTGGACAGCCGACCCCTCTTCTTGCGCCCTATTTATTTGCGTTTAGTCACTAGATATTTAGGAAAAGTACCTTCGGACCTGATTATACGTACGGACCTGAAGAATTTTCTTCGAAACCCGACGACCGATTCGACGTTTGTACTGTACAATTTACGATTCGCGAATGCGTTTTGCAACAACGTTACCCTTTCTCGTTGAAATCGTTGTATCGTGACGTTGTCTCAGACGCGATAAGAGACGAAAGACTTGTAAGTAGAACAACGGTAACGGCGTAACTGACTAGCGTAACTGTGCTATTAAATAAAAGTAGGTAAGTAACGAGGATAGGAGGAGGATAGCAGGAAAAAAGTACGGCAGCGATATTGACTATCGGTAACGACGATGGCGCATCGATAAGAATCGATAAGAGCAATTATATTAGTAGCGTTACGTGGTGCGTTGTTAAATTAATTTGCGTTCTCAAATAAGAAACAAGTGTTCTACGTACACGGATCGTGTATCTAATATAATAGCTTTAGATTAAGGTTAAGATTAAGATTAAGTTTAAGATTAAGATTAAGATTAAGATTAAGATTAAGTTTAAGTTTAAGATCAAGTTTAAGATTAAGGATTAAGGTCAAGATTAAGGTTGAGGTTAAGTTTAACGCGTAGAGTGTATAGAGCGTAGAGTGTAGAGAGTAGAGAGATAGTGGCGGTCGACGAGAGCGCGAGGTTGCCTTCGCCTCTGAATTCTCTTTTTCTTTTATCGTTTGAAAGTTCCAACGCGACTGGATCGGAATCAAGTCGTAGGGCTGACCGTTGGATGAACACGGCTGTTGACCTACAACACGGTGATTTTCGTGAAAGTTAGAACGAGATTCTTGCGACATCGTAGCGTGGTTAGATAGCGCGTACAATTCAAGACAGACATCGAACTCGATCCGTTGGGTGCGAGCAAAGATTAAGGCTGTGAATCTCGAATTTAGAACGCGGGATCATCGAGATCCTTGTGATATCGCGATCGTAAAATCATTCCCAAAGATTTTTCTCTTGCGTGTCCGGCGAACACCGACGAAGCATCGACACAATTTTTTACCGATTTTACTATTTTGGCACGCGTACCATTAGAAATTGAATTGCGTCGATAACTCGTTCGTATTCACCGGTGATCGAATAACGCGTGGCACGCTCGAATCGTGGAGTACCGCATTGTGTTCACCCGCCGACCGCGAATCTGTGTTATTTCGTCCGTTCTTCTCTTTTCTAACGATTATTAAATATACCTATACTTACTGCTTTTTAATCGAGCCTCGCCAAATTTTTTTTAATCATCCTCACTTACCCTTTTTTTCCGTATCCGCTCAAACCGTATATGTTAACTGTTCGATCGGTTAGTGGAGTCGAGAAAGGGAGCGAGAGGGACGCAAACAGAACAGGTAAGATTCGTGTGTTTATTCGTCGTCAACGTTCGAACAAGCAACTTTATAAGTGGTTCGAACTTATAAAAATTATAAAGACGATCGATCGCGTCGGCGAAAGGCTAAACGGTGTGGCTTCGGGACGAGCGTGATACCGCATTCGCCTTCGAGGTCGACGGTTTCGTCCGGCGGTATCGACACGACGAACGCGCGCAGTATCCTTCCGGCGAAAATGAACAGAATCATTCTGGCGAGTTCCTCTCCGACGCAGACGCGCTTACCTTTAAACAGTGAAAGAGAGAATAGCGAGGGAAGAGAGGAAAGTCGTGAGAAAGACAATTACCGCTTTGAAACGGGAGAAACGATTCCGGTTTGAAGAAGCTTCCATCCTCGGTTAAGAATCTGTCAGGCTGAAACTCGAAAGGATCTTTCCAGTAAGTAGGATCGGTGTGAACGGCCCACTGCATCGGAATTATCATGGATCCACGCGGCACGTCGTATTCACCTATTCGCGTATCCTGAACAAACGAACACGTTTTCTGGGAAAAAGATCGAGATCAGTAGGTGGTCGTTGACGAACCTCCAACGTGCCATGGGGCATACCGAGCGGCGTAACGCTTCTTATTCTTTGCACTTCGGCCAAAGCGGCTTCGAGACGGGGGACGGTGAGTCTATCGTTTAGGGTCGGTACTTCCTTTTCACCCAGACTAACATTCATCTCCGAATAGATCTTCTCCTGGAAAACGATCGGACGATTACGCCTATTATCTAGCGTGATATATCTCGCGTGATTACCTGTTCCTTAGGATGGGCAGCCATAAATAGGAGAAACCATCGTAGCGTAGTCAAAGTGGTGTCGGTTCCAGCACCGAAAAGATCCGCCAACAAGTGGTAAAGCTGAGGTTCCGTGAAAAACTTCGATTCTTCGAGCTTTCTCTTTTTCATTTGTTCGTCGAACGCGGCCAAGAAGCTCTCGACCGTGTTCGCGTTCGACGCGTTTGCCTTGATTCGTGATCGGTGCTGCTCTAATATCGTCCGATATACCCGATGCGTTTTCTCTTTGCCGTCGACGATGGATCGAATCGTTTTACCGTATCGTGGTACGAATCTGGGGAACGTATAGAACGTATACGCGTTTGCGGAACGAAGCGGACGAAGGAAGAGAAAGAAGAAAAGTACCTTAGAAAAGGTAAGAAGTTTAGAGGTCCGGCGACGCCTATCTCCTTTACTCCTTCTTCCTGCAAATGTCTCAGCCATTTCCACACCGGATCGTTCTCCTCGTAAGTTTTCCCAAACACGATGCTGTTGATAAGATTACCCATGCAATGGTGAAGCGTGTCCAATGGATCGATCGGCTCGTTGGCCGAACGCGTTTCGAGCATCTATCGTACGGAGGAGAAAATGATTTGATCGAAATCTGCTAAGAGTTTGTCGCGTAGCACGACGAAACGCGTTCCGATGGAACAGAACGAGAAAGGGAGGATTTCGTTCGATGTACGAACGATCTATATGTATGTATACCGATACGCATTCGTTGGCTGCATCGAGTATCCGTTTCTCCATTTTGTCCCTCCTAGGTCCTTCGTGTTTCACCATACCGAAATTTCTTAGACAGCTACCGACGAATTTCCTTTGATCTCTCCATCGATCGCCCTCGGCACAAACCAAACCTGCGCAGAGCAACGCTAACGAGTTAGAGAAAGCGGCATCAGTATCGGTATTGGTATCGATATCGAATTGGTATATTCTTTTTTCCGATCGTAGAGTCGCGCTTGATTCTATTACGAAGCGAAACGGCGTTGCATCGTTAAGTACGCGGCATGTAAAATGACAGAATGATCGTCGTCATTCCGTAAGTAGGTGCAGCCATTGAACTCGTCGAAGGATAATCATCGAATGAATAAACAATAATCTTTCACCGCACCTACTCTCCCCACCCCCCCTTCCAGCCTGTTCTTCCAACATGCTCTCCCCATCCTTCGCAACATCCCTCCTTCATTTTCTGACCATATCATCGTTGCAACCGCCTCTCCGACTCCCACCAGGATACCTCCGCATCTACGCCCACTTGTTCGTTTAATTGTCGCGCGTTCCGTTGCGATAGCGCTGCGTAGAGCGTTACTAATTACATACCTGCCGCGTTACAACACCCTTCCGAACGTTTTCATCGTCGCGTTCGTCGCGTTCGTCGCCTATGACCACCGTGTTGGCCAGCGTTCTTCGACGGCATCTACGAGCGGACGATGCGATTCGGAAAATAAAATAGCGAATATTTCGATGCGAAACGTGAACGGCGATTTCGTCCCCCGTTTTCTCTGGTGTCTTCGTTCGTCGCCGCGTCGCCCTCAAACTTCCTCCCACCTGGTCTCTCTTGCCTACCCTTCGCCTCCTCCTCGCTCCTCATCCGCCCCTCCGTTATCGTTTCACTGCCCGTTGCCCTCTTATTCTCTACCAGTTCGCAAGCAAGAAAGGCCGTCGGTGCGTCCTTGCCGAGTTAACTGTAACTTTTCGCACTGCTGCGGTACGCGGGATCGGTAACGATCGGGGAAACTCATTTCCAGGAGATCGAGCGAACGACGAAAGCGAGAGTACGCGTTTCGTAGCGGAAGACTGTTTGCGGCAAGTGGGAGAAAACGAGGAAAAACGAGAGGAAATCGCGAGGAACACCCTTTAAATAAATTACCGAGCGAATCGGTGAGAGCCTCTGCTTACCGTATCCTTGCATAATTCCATGAGTAAGATAGAGCGGTGCTCTGCCGGCGAACGCGTCCTTCGCGAGAGTTTGCTTTATCAGCCGAGGTTCCGAGAGCAGTACGGCGTACACCGAACCCATCCGAATTCCGCACACCGGTCCGTGAATTCTTGATAATTTCGTGAGAGATTCGTGCGGCTTCTCCGCGTCGATCCACGGTAGGTAGCCAATGATCGGAAGTTGCCAAGGACCGGGAGGCAGACGAAGCGCCTTTCGATTTCTGCGGGAAATCACCGCGAACAGAAGGAACAAAGTCACCAAGACTATCGCGTAAACGAGCTGGTTCATCGTGGATTTCGACGTAGACGTGGACAATTTGATCTGAAAATGAAAAGGAATCGTCGCGCTACGTTATTCCAGAACTAATCCTACGAGTTTCCGAGAATCGACGAGATCGATGTAACTTTCCGCGCCGTGGAACAGTTTCGAAGGAGTGTTCTCGAAATCGACTGGAAACTCGAAGCTCGCCGATTTGGCACGCGAATTCGATAGTTGCGTCGCGTCGTGCATAGGCACGATGTTCGAGCACTCGTTTTCTCCTCGATATTTCTGACAGCCTTCCGACCGATTTACCGATGCTAGCTGCGAGCGACGAAACGTCGATTCACGGTTTGATCCCCGATCGAAAATAATAAAGTATACCCTACGTAGATACGTAAATCTAAAAAGTAGCTCGATTTAAACGGTACACGCGGAAACGCTGGACCTTCATCCAGTCCGAGCAACCACGACGAAACGAAGCGACTGTCGAACCTCCGTATCTCGAAAGGACGCGCTGACAGTGTCGCGTCGATCGTTATCGTTTGCTTAGCTTAACCGGACGAGTCCGACGAGCTATTTTAAAAGCTACCGAATTCGGAAAATAAAATAGCGAATATTTCGATGCGAAACGTGAACGGCGATTTCGTCCCCCGTTTTCTCTGGTGTCTTCGTTCGTCGCCGCGTCGCCCTCAAACTTCCTCCCACCTGGTCTCTCTTGCCTACCCTTCGCCTCCTCCTCGCTCCTCATCCGCCCCTCCGTTATCGTTTCACTGCCCGTTGCCCTCTTATTCTCTACCAGTTCGCAAGCAAGAAAGGCCGTCGGTGCGTCCTTGCCGAGTTAACTGTAACTTTTCGCACTGCTGCGGTACGCGGGATCGGTAACGATCGGGGAAACTCATTTCCAGGAGATCGAGCGAACGACGAAAGCGAGAGTACGCGTTTCGTAGCGGAAGACTGTTTGCGGCAAGTGGGAGAAAACGAGGAAAAACGAGAGGAAATCGCGAGGAACACCCTTTAAATAAATTACCGAGCGAATCGGTGAGAGCCTCTGCTTACCGTATCCTTGCATAATTCCATGAGTAAGATAGAGCGGTGCTCTGCCGGCGAACGCGTCCTTCGCGAGAGTTTGCTTTATCAGCCGAGGTTCCGAGAGCAGTACGGCGTACACCGAACCCATCCGAATTCCGCACACCGGTCCGTGAATTCTTGATAATTTCGTGAGAGATTCGTGCGGCTTCTCCGCGTCGATCCACGGTAGGTAGCCAATGATCGGAAGTTGCCAAGGACCGGGAGGCAGACGAAGCGCCTTTCGATTTCTGCGGGAAATCACCGCGAACAGAAGGAACAAAGTCACCAAGACTATCGCGTAAACGAGCTGGTTCATCGTGGATTTCGACGTAGACGTGGACAATTTGATCTGAAAATGAAAAGGAATCGTCGCGCTACGTTATTCCAGAACTAATCCTACGAGTTTCCGAGAATCGACGAGATCGATGTAACTTTCCGCGCCGTGGAACAGTTTCGAAGGAGTGTTCTCGAAATCGACTGGAAACTCGAAGCTCGCCGATTTGGCACGCGAATTCGATAGTTGCGTCGCGTCGTGCATAGGCACGATGTTCGAGCACTCGTTTTCTCCTCGATATTTCTGACAGCCTTCCGACCGATTTACCGATGCTAGCTGCGAGCGACGAAACGTCGATTCACGGTTTGATCCCCGATCGAAAATAATAAAGTATACCCTACGTAGATACGTAAATCTAAAAAGTAGCTCGATTTAAACGGTACACGCGGAAACGCTGGACCTTCATCCAGTCCGAGCAACCACGACGAAACGAAGCGACTGTCGAACCTCCGTATCTCGAAAGGACGCGCTGACAGTGTCGCGTCGATCGTTATCGTTTGCTTAGCTTAACCGGACGAGTCCGACGAGCTATTTTAAAAGCTACCGAATGCGAGAACGACGCAACCGATACGATCGAAATACGTATAATGTTTGCTTCGAATCGTCGCTCTGTCCGTACTCTGTACCGAATCTGCTTCCTTCGATTTCTTATTCGCCTTCTTATTCGTCTCGAAACCCTTTCGACGGAAGCGGATAGCTAAAAGACGAAGCTATCGAAGAAATCCGATAACCGAGTTTTGCTTCTAGGAAAAGGAAAAAAAGGAAAAGAAAACTCGTTGCATCGTGATCGCCGTCATAGGCCGATGACGTCGTCGTCGTCGTTTCTCCGTGATCAGCAGAATTGCGTAATCGTAACTTATTTGCCAATCGGGTGAATCGGTAATCAACTTACCTTTGCAGCAAAGAATCGATCGAGTTTCGTAAGTCGCGCTTACTGACCGTATTATCGGACCAAGGTGCGTTGACTCTAACCACTAGTCGTCATGGATATACTGCAAGCAATAATAGCAACAGCGATTTTGGGGGGGCTGAAAGCCTGTCGAGTGTCGAGGATTATAGTTCGAACTAATGGAAAATTATGAAACACGATCGACGCACCGCGGACACGCTATATCAGCTTTTTCTCCGGAACGCGCACTCGAAAACGCGATATTTGCGATTCGATATTTTTTCGTAACGCGTCTCGTCGCCGCGCCGGCATAATTCCGGATCCGCGATGTCTTTATCGCGTCGCAAGTTTCGAACAGGAAGAAAGGTGGATGAAGCTGTATCCCCTGGGACGTGCAACGACCGACAAAGGTCAGTGGAAGCGCGCGTATCTTTTCGTTATCTTTGCTGACTCGGCTCTGTCGCGTTATTCGTCGAGACGCGAATACGATTCTAGCACGAACGCTATCCTTGGCCGTTCGGTCTAAGCGACCCGTATAAAAGATCACCGATATGCTGTCCGATTTAGAGATAATCTCCGCGCTTTGGGATTTCGGAGATTTTGGAAATTCTTTGTCCGAGTATCGAGGAAATTTCGTTGATTTTCTCGAGCTCGATAAACGTAGTCGTGTAATAGTTGGTAATAGAACTGTAGTAAACGAAACCGAGGGTAAGAAGGGAATATAAATAAACGAGAAAGATGGAAAAGAAATAAGGAAAGGCGCGTACTTTCCGTTGTCCGATTCGATTTCATATTCCATTTGATCTTTACGGCTAAACGAATGTACCGTCGCGATCGAACTGGATTCGTGGTCGCGATAGGCTACAGAATCCTCGGGGTACTGAAATTATTTTTCGTTCGACCTAAGGACGACTACTTTGGGTTCGATGAAACAAATTTTTCTCCAAGGACCGCCGGTTCGCGAAACACGAATGATTGGCTGGCCGGTGACGGTAGAGAATCGACAAAAAGTCGATTCAAGAGTATAACGAACTCCGTAGCGAGTCAATCCTCACGGACAAACGACGCAACTTTTCTTCGCGATTCTTCACCTTCCTTCCTCCCTCCATCCCTCTTTCCCTCCTTCGCGTCCTTTCCCTCCGCTCCCCACCGTCATCCTCCTCCTTTTCCTCCTCCGCCCGCTTGCTCTCTTGCCCCTCTCTCCAACCCCCGTACACGTACACGCATACTCATTCGTCCCTCTTCCTTTCCTTTCCTTTTCCTTTTCCTTTCCTCTCCATTCTTTTTCCATCCGAATTCTTTCTCCATTCTTTTCCGTCCACTCGTATCCCGAGTACCGATTCTGCGATCGATATACCGAGTCCGATGAACTCGAATCGAGGATTTTTAGCGTAGAAGCGAGAAGCGAGCGGTGTTCTTCGGAAAAGGGTTGGCGGTGAAACACGGGGCAAGATCGGTGTACGCGTAGCACGCTATCTACCTGCTCCCTCTAAGTCTTGCGGTAAGCTACGAGCAGGTAGATCAGGGGCAACGATCGACTTGGGTCATTGGCTGAATCCAGTTATCAAGGTTAGGGTCCTTTTCTTTGGTCGCGAGAGATCATCGTTTCTCCTCGACGAACTTTTCAAGTTTGCTCGCGTGCATGCCATTAAAATTAAGTGTTAGGTATACCAGCCGTGTCACGTTCGACCGTTTAAATTTCTTTTCTCTGATTTTCTGTTTCATCGAAAGTTATTCGTTCAAGAGCAAACGAACGAAGCAATCGGTAGATCAGCAAACGCATAGACAAAGAAAGAAACGGAGTTCGATCAGAGTAACAGAGGCAACTAGGAAGCCGCAGCCCGTCGCGTCGACTCGAAAGAGTTTGATAGTTTGCATCGTTTCGGCGAGTTTACGGAGTAAAAGAACGTTACAATAGCCGAGAAAATTTCGGCAGTCGACGATATCTCTGTTGTTCTTCTTTCCGTTTGAATTCGCAAGGGGGAAGACACGTCGCGTGGTCTCGTGTACCCTCGTTCTTCCGTTGGGAGAGTCGTTCGCGCGAGAATTCACAGATTCGGCAGTCGAACCGAACGTGGTCGAGCGGCCGACGACCGCGACTTTCTCCTCTTATGCTAATTTCGTTAATACGCTATTTTCACGAGTCTCGTACTTCGCGTGCCACTGTACCGTTCGGTGTCAGATGCGTACGAGAAGGCGAAGAAAATATCCTCGACGAGAGGCGATAATTGAGAAACGGTTCGTAGCTCGTCGGGCATATTACGTAAAACCGTATATCGAAGTATTTCGGAAAGCGGTCGAATCAGTTTGGTCGTTTCGATGTTACGTACCGCATCGACCGCTCGCCGAGACAACGTTCGCAGCGAACGCGTACGAACGCGTGCTTTCGGACTTATTAACTCGTTGTTCGATAACGCGTTCGTTCAACCAATATTCTTGGCGACTATGAAAAAAACTCGACGAGTCGGTTGATCGAAGGACAATATTTAACACGTTTCGAGGATTCGAGCAGTGATCGAGTTTCGTTCGATCCAACGATCGGTCAATTTCTCCGAATAACGTACGCGCGTCACCGCAACGAATGACACCGGTGCCGATACGGTTCGAGTTCGATTTCGAGTATACCGAGAGTTCGTTGCCCCATAAAAGAAGGCGGGTGTATTGGCCCCGACTGGCATTTCTGGGTTTACTACCTTTGCTCGATCGCGAACAGCCGTGAGGCTGTACCCCGTAAACTGTCTGCATCCTTTTCAACGCGATCGTCACCGGAGAAACGCGATACGCTTTTATTTCGCGTCCCCTTTCGAATGCATTTTTCTTTTACGAGTAAATATATACCGCTTTTTTTCAATCGATTCTCCTTCTCACTCGCCACGTTTAACGATCGTTTCGAATCACCGTTCTACTTCCGTTCCGTGTTATTCCGTGTTAACGCGATGTTTCTGATCGCGAAGTTGGACGATCGACGATTAACGCGTTCTACGGGGTTGCCGATGAACGATGATCCGAGGTCGACGTACTCGAAAGTCGAAGCTTTCCCGCCTCGCGAACCCGCGACATCTGTCCAATAACGTTTGCTGCTCAAATTTCTGACAACGACGATAAACGTCTCTCCAGATTCGTTCTATCGTTCGACGATCGATATCGCGCAACGATATTTTATCGTGCACGAATACTGTTCAAGTAGAAAGCAAATCGTATCGATTGCGTAGAAACAACGTAGAAAAATTTGCGAATCGCGATATTTCTCGATAACGATCATTGCAAAAATACCAACGATACGAGCGATAACAGCATCGACGACAACGACGATGGCCACAACGGCAGAAATATCAGTGTGGATGTTGGTGTTTGTAACCAGTCCTATACCGTATAAAATTGTTAGTGGGGATGGAGGACACTTTCACTCTCACAGGTGTATGACCGAGTTGAGAGTTCGGAACTACACGTTACTTGAATGAGAGTCACGCCGAGAGAGAGAGAGAGAGGGAGAGAAAAGAGGAGAAGGTAGAGGAGAAGGGTCGGCGAGGGAGGAAGGAAAGGAGAAAGAGAGGGAATATAGGAAAGGAAAGGAACGGAGCCGAGATCGAGGAGGGTATAAAGAAAGATTACGAAGAAATAAGGTGAACGAGAGAAGGGTGAAACAAGGGGAAAGAAGAAAGAGGGGATAGAAAGGGAAACGTCGAGAAGAACCATAGCAGAAAGGAATTCGTCGATCAGAAAGTGGAGGACATCGTTGCGCGTGGTCCGCTAGGTAACGGCCTAGCGACCACGTGCTTACGTGTACCAGCTAACCTGCACCACCTTCTTCTTTCTCGCACTTTGTCACTCGTTACGGGGGTTACCGGTCGCGCGGTATTCTTCCTTCTTTCTCGATCGTTTCGGCTCTGGCTCGAAACGGTTTCCTTTCGATCCTGCTTTCTTACCGTTTCGCGCGTCAGGATCGATACGGGCGCACTAAACGCGACGGTACATCGATGACGAATCACTGAGCAGGTCAGTGAAGAACGCGTCGAAACTAACGAAGAGGCTAGCAAATGGTAAGAAAAAGATGGACAAGGTAGGTAGCCGAGGAAAGACAAGGAAAGGCGAGAAAAAAAGAAGAAAGAGATGGCTCGAGATCGAGAGGCGGTTGAACGAGGTCATTGAACCACGAAAGCGTATGGTTTTTTGGCCGATGTACGCGCTATCGAAATTCATTCCTCTCGAGACGATCCTGATGCTTCCGAGTGGTCCTACTGGGTCAGTGGTTCATGGAGATTCGACGACCCGTACAACGGGCCGCCCTTTCAAACGTTTCCGTTATCGAAACACGCGAGTTATTCGCAAATCGGGTTTTTCTCTCCGATAGCCTCCGATAGCCCCCGATAGAATCGTAACGTTTGATCGGTTAATTAAATGGCTGGTGCCAGCCACGGGCATGGAGGCTAGTTACGATGCGTCGTGCGCGCTATACGTATCGTTTATATGCCTGCGTAGCTCGACGCGTACCTAACGGACGACGAAAAGAAGGAAATGTCCGGGCGACGCGACACGACGCTATACGACGCTACACGACGCTACACGACGCGACCGCTTGATCGTTAGACGTACTCGTAAAATGCCTGCTTGCCGCAACAAACGCGAAAGAACCAATCTGCTTGCCTGCGGTTCCAAGAAATCCGGTTAGAATTTAGGCTACGTGGAGCTCCTACTCGAATCTGGAACAAGCTGGTCGTTGACCTTGCTTCGATACTCCGAGAAGATTTTCAGGCATGATTACACGTGCTTACGTGTACCAGCTAACCTGCACCACCTTCTTCTTTCTCGCACTTTGTCACTCGTTACGGGGGTTACCGGTCGCGCGGTATTCTTCCTTCTTTCTCGATCGTTTCGGCTCTGGCTCGAAACGGTTTCCTTTCGATCCTGCTTTCTTACCGTTTCGCGCGTCAGGATCGATACGGGCGCACTAAACGCGACGGTACATCGATGACGAATCACTGAGCAGGTCAGTGAAGAACGCGTCGAAACTAACGAAGAGGCTAGCAAATGGTAAGAAAAAGATGGACAAGGTAGGTAGCCGAGGAAAGACAAGGAAAGGCGAGAAAAAAAGAAGAAAGAGATGGCTCGAGATCGAGAGGCGGTTGAACGAGGTCATTGAACCACGAAAGCGTATGGTTTTTTGGCCGATGTACGCGCTATCGAAATTCATTCCTCTCGAGACGATCCTGATGCTTCCGAGTGGTCCTACTGGGTCAGTGGTTCATGGAGATTCGACGACCCGTACAACGGGCCGCCCTTTCAAACGTTTCCGTTATCGAAACACGCGAGTTATTCGCAAATCGGGTTTTTCTCTCCGATAGCCTCCGATAGCCCCCGATAGAATCGTAACGTTTGATCGGTTAATTAAATGGCTGGTGCCAGCCACGGGCATGGAGGCTAGTTACGATGCGTCGTGCGCGCTATACGTATCGTTTATATGCCTGCGTAGCTCGACGCGTACCTAACGGACGACGAAAAGAAGGAAATGTCCGGGCGACGCGACACGACGCTATACGACGCTACACGACGCTACACGACGCGACCGCTTGATCGTTAGACGTACTCGTAAAATGCCTGCTTGCCGCAACAAACGCGAAAGAACCAATCTGCTTGCCTGCGGTTCCAAGAAATCCGGTTAGAATTTAGGCTACGTGGAGCTCCTACTCGAATCTGGAACAAGCTGGTCGTTGACCTTGCTTCGATACTCCGAGAAGATTTTCAGGCATGATTACTCGCTTGCCAATAATTGGTCCGAGGTACGCGGCTTAAAACGTTTTTCTTATTTTCCTGCGATTCCCGCATTCGAAAACGAACGATCACCGTACGAGACATCGAACAAAAATATTTATTTTTGTCTTTATAGTTATCGAATTTATTGTCCAACGGTGATGATCGCGTGCTAGCGATTTGCTTCGAATGAAATTCGATTTTATCGAAAAAGAATATCGAACGGACAATTTAAAATCGCGTAACTTGGATAAACAGAGTGTCAGTAAGGAACGATCGGCGAACGAGCGAACGAACGAACGAACGAACGAACGAACGAAGCAACGAGGATGCAGCAAGAGAACAGGAGAGCAGGAGGGAAAGGCACGAAACGATTCTGAAGTGACATGTCCATGTACTGAATTACACGGCTGACTACCGAATCATTTTGACCTACATCCGATACCAACGATGATCGTTGTCGCCTCGAGCATTCGGAATCGGTTACAGGCATTGTGACGCTCTTTCGAACCCCTAGTTTTCCTTTCTTCCTCTCTTATTCGTTTAACCGTTTAACGCGTATCAAGAGTACGAGTTAAGAACCGGAAGGTTCGAAATTAGTATTCGCTCGACGATTTTCTTATCCTTTTCCGTATATTTCTATTAACGTGTACTAGGCGCAGCGGGAGGAAATAGGTCAAGATTAACCGAATGAACGTTGATCGTTTTGTTCGCTACAACGACATTATACATTGTAGAATCCCGGTGTTGCACGGACACCGATCGATTTCTTTTCAGAGATTCAAATATTTACTCGGTAGCGAAAACGTAAAGGATTTCTGATCAACAGAAATTATCTCGCGCGTATCTGCTACGTCCAAGTTTTACCAAGTAGCGTTAGGTTCGATAAGGATAAGCACGAGTCTAGCGTATATAAAAACCCGATAGCCGTTGCGAGCGAAGCTTTCGGTGTTTCGTTTCGATTCTGTTCGCGAACGGAATACCGTGTTTAAGTTGGACCCGTTGATCTGTGCTCGTCGCGTAAAAATGCGTTTTCCAAAAATAATCGAAGCGATAGTAATATTTACGTGTATCGCAACAGGACTCGTTGCGATTTCGGAAACGAGCGACCGTCGCTTTGGTCGAGCAATTCCACCGAAGCCAAAGTTTCAAGGCACATTCGATGAAAGTCACGCGCACGAAAGCATCGGTACGCATCGATACTTGGCGATAATTGATCGACGCGAGCTCGCCAGAAACCTTTGTTCGGATAGAAAAATAATTTTTCCGTTTTCTTCTTTCTATCATCGACAGCGAATCGAATCAGATCCTGGACGGACAAAGAGAAACAGCATCTTTGGGAATTAAGCGGTTTGTACGAAGGAGACATAATGCTCGATAAACGGAAGGATGTATCGAAAAATGGACTGGTGAACACCGCGTTTCGCTGGCCCGCGGGAATCGTGCCTTACTACGTGAAGGAAGAGGATTTTGGTAATTCGACGAAACAAGTATCCTGCTAACTTTTCTCTCTAACTAATTCGTTTTATTCGTAGATCAAGAGGATATCGACGTGATCGAATCCGCCATCAAGGAATATCACGATAATACTTGTATACGTTTCCGTCCTTACAAGAAAACCGACAAAGACTACGTTGTCATAGAAGGAAAAATGTCAGGCTGTTGGTCGCTGGTTGGACGGCACGATCGTGGACAAGTAGTGAACTTACAAAATCCAGGCTGCGTACAACACGGAGTGATCGTTCACGAGTTGATGCACGCGGTAGGCTTTTATCATCAACAAAGCGCCGCGGATCGCGATCAGTGGGTAACGATCAATTGGAAAAACGTAAAACCAGGTAAATCGATCATCTCGTACAATTCCCCCCCGATAATTTATTAATTTACGATCGTGTTCGCCACCAGGTAAAGAGCACAACTTTAACAAATACGATAATCGTACCGTCACGGATTATGGAATCTGTTACGATTACGGGAGCGTGATGCACTATAGCTCTCACGCGTTTTCCAAAAACGGCGAACCGACGATTACACCGAAAGTAAGTATCGACATATGCTGGAAGTAATTTATATTTTCCTTATTTTTCTTATTTCTATGTTTTACAGAAGAAAGACGTGGAACTTGGACAACGGAAGGGATTGAGCGGAAAAGATATATTGAAATTGCAAGAAATGTACAAGAAGGAATGCGCTGATCGAGATCGCGAGGAAACCGCGGGTAACAATGAATCGTCCGACGATATATCCATCGATTGGATATATAATTCGCTGTAATATCAGGAAGATGGGAAATTGGCGAACATTGTAATTACGATAACGGTCATACTAATAGATAACTATATCGATTAAAAAAAATAAACTCCATATTTTTCGTTGTCGTCAATGTCGTCGATGTCGTCGATATCGTCGATATCGTCGAGTACAGATAAGATGCGTTAAACCGATCGAGGAGAATGGCGTTCTGCGTTAAACGGCAGGATTCCGTTGATCGTAGTAGGTCAATTCCTTTAATTCGCTAACTGCGCTTTCGGCGGCCTGAAAGTATACGATCTAATCCGATATTGTGCATGTTCGCTCGCGATACCACGTTTCGTCGAGCGGTCGATTACTTACGAGCCGTACAGTTTCATCCTCGTCGATGATCAAGTTCTCTATTAAACTCCTCAAGGATTTACACCAGATTTGTTGCAAAGCTCGACAGGAAAACCTGCCCAATAGTCGAATCAAGTGGCAGGTTCTCGCTCTGAGGGCTGCCTGCCGATGAGTAAGCAATTTGCCGAATTGTTCTATCGAGTTTCCTTGTCGTAGAAAAATTTGGTTAAAAGATTGAGAGAAAAAATGCGATAACGGCATGACCGTTAAATGAAAGCAAAAAAAAGAAAAGAAAAAAAAAACGAGAGGGAATTGATTTCGCGGTCTCCAAGTTTCGCCAACTTACCCGGTAAACGTGAACGAAACACGACCTTCTCCACGAGATGAGCGTTTTCGGGCTGAGAACGCAACACGTTGCTCAAAATCGCAACGAGATCCGCGACTACGCGTGCTTTTCTTTTCTCCAAGCTTAGCAACTGTTGCAACGACGTCACTCCGTTTACGATGTAAACGGCGTCGCAAAACTGCGTGAGGAATTGTTGCCGACTGTAAGTCAATCTGCAAAGTACGAGCATCGTATATTCCAAAGTTTGAAGCTCGTCCGCGGATAACGTGGAGGCCGATCTGGTGTTGGCATTCGTCGGCTCGGCTTTTCTATTCGTCTCGGGCTCGAAACGTTCGGACATTAACAGCTTTAGAGCGTAGACGAGATTCGGTACGACGCGGACGTCCAGATATACCTGCGCGATCTTTTCCAGAGTGTCTTTGGTTATCGAAACGACGAATGGTAAAGATAAAAGACAGGCAACGTATTCGACCACTCGGCAACCAGCGGCTGGATTTCTCAACGGAGATACGAATACCGATACGCAATTTTGCTGCAGCAACGATCCTACCTCTCCTTCCATCACCTCCTCCATGGATCGTTGTAAAAACGCGATCCATTCTTCGTTCTCGATCGGTCTTTCCACAGCTTTTGGGTCCCAATCGGGTAATCGGCCGTTACTGCTCGGCGAAAGACCATTTGTCGCGGGGTTTCGATGCTCTTTCTCCGAACAAATTGTCTCGATATCTCGAGATACGACGCGTTTCGTTGTACTCGGTATATCGTCCTCGATGCCGGTCGGTTCGATGCTTCTTTCCGTTTCTTTCCTTTCTTTCATTTCTTTCATTTCTTCTGTTTCTCGACGTTGTATTTGATTCTGCTGTTCGTCGAAACGAATCGCCAATTCCCGATTCGACGTCTCTTCGAAGGTCAAAGTCTCTTGTTCGCTTTCCGCGATTCTATTCACCGGACAGTTGCTTAGACACCATGCATTGTCCGCAGAGAGTAATTCGCTTTTCAACGATGCTCTTAAGCTAAGATTTCCTAAAAGCACATCGACGCTGGTGCTAGAATCTGTCCCACTGGGTTCGCTATGACGTAAATTGTAACACTGGTTCATGCCGTGTTGACAGTATCCCTGAGGAATCTGACGTACGCGCGGATGCAACGTACACGTTCTCTGTCGACGTTCCTCGATCGTTCTTTCCTGTTCGTGCAGCTTTTTAATAGCTTTCTCTAAAAATCTGTGTCAATAGAAAATTTTTATTTTCCGTTGCTGACCGAGTAGTCGCGTAAACTCGCTCGTAAATCATTATCGAGTACACTAATACGTCGAGTATACTGTACATAATTAGTGACATGTACTTAGACTGATGATCGATAGGATGTATCGCTAAATTCTGTAATTGTAGCTGTTTCTCTCTGGCTTGACTCGCGGATAGAGGCGTAGTAAAAGATGTAGGCCCACCTCCGCCTACTATCACGATTCTATTTTTAACGAAAGGATGTTCTAACAGCGCTGGCCATGTTAATCTTTGCAAAGGATCCTTTTGTAGCAATCCCTACCGATAAAATCGACAAAATTAACGTTCATCGGTCAATTTCAAAGAAAAATATCCATGATACGTAGGCGTATTAACCACCTGTAAGAAACTTTTACAACTCTGAGAGATGAAATCAGGCCATTTTATCGCCTCGAATCTTATCAGCCTGACCAAATGTAGAATAGAAGTAGTTTGGAAAGGTGGAGATCCTACCACTAGCTCGTACACTATGCAACCAAGCGACCTAGAAACAGCGATACCTTGTACCATGTGTATGCGCAATCTGTAAAAACCTATGCTCGCATCGTATTGTCTGCCACGCTGACATACCATAAATCTGCGTTATGATCATAAGGACGTTCCTCTATCAGCTCTGGAGCCATGTACAATGGAGTTCCCTTTATGGAGGTTAATACGTGCGTTCCTGTACTCATACTGCGAGCAAATCCAAAATCGCATAACTTTGCTACTCCGTTGCTTTCCAGCAGTACGTTCTGTGGTTTTAGGTCCCTGGAGTCGAAACGATTAGTACTTAATAAACTTAGATTAGTAATCAAGAAACGTTCAACCTGTTAAACGTCAAACCTGTGAAGTACTCTGTTCGAATGCAAGTAGTAGAGCGCGGAGACGAGATCGCAAGCAATTACTTGTGCTCTCTGTTCGGAGAGACGGCCAGCTTTACCTAATATTTCGTACAATTCCTTGTCCGCGTATTCGGTCACGACAACTATCTGCAGGAGAAATTACACGTTGCAACGCAAAATGGAAAAGCACGTTGTTCCAAACATGTTTGTCTATCTATGATACCTCGTTCTCTGTTTCAAAAGAATCAAGCATTTGCACTATGTTTGGATGGTGAAGATGGCGCTGAATTTCACATTCTTGACGTAAACTTCTCAACTCCTTGAATGATCTACCACGCTACGTGATAACGTTACGGGATTCATCGATACACGGTGAAACAAAATACATGGCGTTATCGAAACAAGTATATAAACGGAGAACATTTCGATGATCGATCATGGATATTTTTCTTTACCTTTCGAATCACTTTGAAAGCTACGATTTCACCGTTGCATCGTTTCTTTGCTTTGTATACTTGTCCAAAAGATCCTTCGCCAACCTGTTTTAACACCTCATATTTTTCCATCGTTTCTTATCGAATTTTTCTATGTACTAAGAAACATAGATGTGCAAAGTTAAATCGAGAATTTTTAAATATGATAGAAAATAATATGCGATATGTAAGTACGTACTTGAAGGAGCTAAGCGGCTTCTTTTTCTTTGTTGTCAATGTCCGTTAACGTACGGCGTGCGGCCAAACTATATATTCCTGTTTACCATACTACACGATACTATACATTGCGTACGTAGAATATACCGAAGCATGATCATCTGCAGCAACGCGTTGGTGAAAGCGCGAACGTTTTGCGATCGACTATAGGCTACAGAGCCCAAACGATTAATGTAAATGTGGGTACACGTATATGTACATATGATTATTGATAAAAATAGGAACGAAATAAACGACGAACAAACAAATATCTTGTTAATAAATAGTAATGGTACTTGAAAGTTATAATAATGTGATCGGAATTATTTTATAGGTTACATGTCGTATCCGATACCTACTTCGTTTGTTACCATTTGCTTTTCTTCCAATATCGAAGGGGAACGAGAAAAAGAGAGAAAAAAATATATAAATTATGGTTTATACTAATAGGGTGTTATTCAAAATTAATTAATAATCGTATAATTTTAGCGTTTACAACTCAAATTTCTCCCGATTTTCTCGATGATCTTTTTTGTATTTGAGATATACGTTGCCATTTGATGATTTTTTCGATTCATAACATCTTTCGCTATGTTTTCTACGATCCTGTCGAGAATAATCGCGTTTACTCCTTCTGTCATGGTCACGTTCTCTTGAACGAGATCTTTTGTGTTTACGAAACTTTCGCGATTTCCACGATTCCGCAATAATTTCAGAATACTTGTCTCGTTTATCTAAACCTTTATCGTAAGAAGTAGATGATTTTTCGAGACGCCGATGCGATTCATTGTGACGAACAGCGGAATTTCCGTGATTATTTTGAGCATTTTCGAGTAAAAGATTGCGATGTTTCGACGTAGCTTCGTTGAATCGTAGAGGCAAATTATTCGAGTTCTGAACCTCGGCGACGCTTTCCCTTTTTGTATCGCAACTACTTGCTCGCGTTTCTGTCATGTAATTCGTATATTCTTCCATTTGTTGATTTATCACTTCTCTGAGAATTTCAGTATGAGATTTTTTATTCGTGTGAACACCTTTATGCTTCGCTCTTCGTCTTTTCAAGTTACGTTCTTGCACCAATAATTCCAAAAGCGATAACTTCTTGTCATCTTTGCTCTGGTCTTTTCTAGCGAAAAAGAAAGCGTTTCGTCAAGTTTTATTATCGATTCTTAACTAATTACTAGCTGTATAAACTTACGGTTTGCGAGTATCCGCGATATCGTGACCAATATCTGTGTTGATGGTACACGAAACAACGTACTCGTATAAAGCTTTCCTCTCGTCGCGAGTAAAATCTGCGAAGATTCTATCCGACGTTCGTGGAATTAATCGCTCACCCCGACCTATTATCAGTGTTAAGAATTCATGTTTTGAAAGAAACCATACATTAATTATGGAATTTAAACGAGGTAATGGAAAGCAGGTACTTCGCGTTATTCAAATATTTAACAAAAGATACGAAAAAGGATATACAGAACTTGTGCAGAGTAGGACATTCGTTATTTTCTGTAAAAAATTGAGCAATTTAAAACACGTAAAATTATATTCGGAATGCTGATTTCATAGTACTAACCAACTATCATGGTAGAATCTTTCTTCTTTGCTTCCTGCAAAATACTGTTCTGTAACGATGCATCTGCAATCGAATAGATTCATTGTAAATTACACGTTAATTTTGAATTAATTCGGTCATATATAAATTACGGTTCGTGTACCTAATTTTATCGAAGACGGTGAACTTGACGAGAAACATGATTCGGATAATGGTACGCTGTATTCATTGTAACCCTCTTTTCTCCACTGACACGACTCCAAATGTCGATCTAACGATCTTCTACTAATTCGATGAGACGAATCGTATGAACATATCAAGCTGTTGTCGTTCTAAAAAGAATGAAGAGTAAAATAAACTGATTAGTGCCTCGTTGTAAGATATTAATGTACTTACATCAGTTTTCATACTGTCCATCGACCATCCTAAAGTGGAAACAACATTCATGATTTCGTGATGGACTTTCGTCGTAAAATTATTAAGATTTTGGTATTCCTCCTCGCGTCGACGTAGCGCGTAATTCAACATTTTTATTCACTACTAAAATTAACGACAGAAACAGGAAACGCTGCAAAAGACTAGAAATTCTAACAGATTTCGACACGAGCGATACGAGCAATTACGAGTCTGAGAGCTGCAACCAAAAACATTCGTTTTATAGATCCGACAATCCGACTATGGAGACACTTGTGCGAATCATATTAAACACATAGATGGAGCGTCCTCAGCAGTCGATAACAAAGAACGGGATGATTTTACAATAATTAATTAATCACCAATTCTATAGTATTTTGTAAATAACTATTACTAAACAGTACGTATACTAAAGGACGTATCCAGCTTCTCAGAGGAAAATGGCAGCCAAGGAGAAGAGGTTCACAAAATCCGCGAATTAGCAAGTGTTATGTCTAGTTTACAATGAACATTTTCGAATATTACTTTTTAAAGCAAGCTTTATTGCACATTTTACGTTCCAGAAAGATGATTCTAGAAACTACGTAGTTTAATGTTCCATTAATTGAATTTTACATCGAAATTAGCGTACATACCAGAAACGCCATGTCGATACAAGAATGGTTAAAAATTGAAAATAGTTCGGTAAAGTAAAAACAGCTTGAAGCTAATTAGTCTTACACTCCGATGTAATTCGATAAATACTATAGTCAATTAAACTAATAATATCAACTATATTAAATTAAATCGAACAAAAGGAAAAAGATACATGTAGCACCATCTGGTGGCAGTGCGTGAGAACTAATGAAACTACAGTTTCAAAAACGGGTAGTTCACCTTGTCCGCTGAAGAGATGGCGCCACTGGTTTTATTTTCATAAAAATTCAATTATTATCGATTTTTTTATTCACAGACGTTTCCCTGCGAAAAAAGAATCCAGTTTGCAAAATTTAGCCAAAATCGGAACATGACGGTATTCCACTTTAATCGGATAAGGTATTAGAAATATAGTTCTTTTAGTTCCCACTTGCGACCGCTAGGTGGCTAAGTATTTTTAGGTCCATTCCATGCACTATTTTTTTGTCACATCGATGTGGCTTCGTTTTGGCTCTACTCAAATCATGAAATACTCTGCGTGTTCCGTAAAAGCGTAAAAGTCGTTAATTTTGCTGCAAATCGCAATTTTCTACTTTGGTAGTGCCACTGTCGGTATTAAATTTACGAGCGTAATGTTTCGAATCAAGCAGAAAGGCACTTTCATAATCTTGTCGTGTTCTTAAAATAATTTGCGAGAGCGAAGAAGATATGAAATAGTTTTATTTTCTGTAGAAACAAAGTTTTTTTGTTTCGATAGTTTCGAGTTCCGCCGTGAGATGACGTTAACGGTTTCGTTTTCGGATCACGCGCGTGAAAATATGAATTTGAAAATATACGTAAGAATCAGACTACCCAAATGCTTTTAGTTTTGTTTCCGCAATGAGCCATTGTCATTTATCGATTTCGAAAATGTCTGGTGCTGGGGAATTTTTTCTTTCCTCTGGTATTTCCTCCGGGTAAACCAAGTTTCTACGCGAATGTACTTATGGCTCGAATGACGGTAACGAGTATGCGCTCTTATGGCAATTGTCACTGTAATAAGTTTACGTTAATAATTTAAGCTTAAATTTCAGATTAAAAATTTGAGAAGAAAATGTTGTTTTTTTTTTGTACCGTAGTGTGAGACTACGAAGAAGGTGGATCTACTGGACACGTTAAAAATTTCTCAGCTTGTAGCGAAGTAAGGTTATTTTCTCACGAGATGGAGCATATGTAGCAAAATTTTGTTCGATTGTCGGTTTTATCGCTCGAATCGTGTAAAAATGATTATTTTCTGAATAATATCTTGCTGTTGGGACGTGCAGTTGGCATTCGCGAAATAAACAATTGATTTTGTACGGTAATATTCTCCGTGCATCGCTAGATAAGATAGACGGTAAGGTTTATGAAAAGTGCGCGTTAATATGAAAGCGAAAAACTTTCATAATAGGTGTTGGAACCTGTTCGAATTAATTCCGTTACGGGCCATCAGAAAGTAACGAGGCGTAGGGGCAGAAAAGATTTTGAATCTTTTGTCACTGTCGATCAGCTGTCGATTGTTTCCCGCGATTTTGTATGACGAGCGATGCGATTATCACAGGATAAGTGTTCAATCGATTACGAGCGAATATTCGAGTCGACGACTGAGGATTTGGAGTATTCGATTTTTGTTCCGGTAAACGGATGCATCGGCGAAAGATTCGGGTGGATAGCAGAGGATCGACAAGACTAGTACGGTTGTTTTCGCGACAGGCACGACGGGTTCGGTTCGCGACCGATGGAAACGTCCGAAAGGAAGGTTCGAACGCGCGAAACGCGCGACAGGTTAATCGTGGATGGAAGTTGAAATACGTAATGATCGTTTCGCGGTCGTAAGGAGTAGACGTAATGTGCGTATATTTACTTTAGTACCCACCTGTTGCCGTAACCCAGTTTCTTACGTATACCAACCGGAAAGTTTTTCAACTTTCCAAGGATTCCTGAAATTCTCGAGCCGTATAGTTGGGACGGAATCGATTCGCATCGCGAACGTCCGAATTACAGGATGTTAACGCGCGGATACTTGGACAGGTAAGCGATTGGGCGAACGGCAAAGGGTGGTGTATGGCGCGTGGTCGGAAGGGAAAGAGGGAGAAGAGCGGAGCAGAGGGATATATAGAGCGAGAGAGAAACGGGTGAACGTTCGTGACAACGAGATGGCGAGTTTTTCCGTTAACATCGACGATACGATAAATGGACAAGAAACGTTTTATTCGCAGCGGTCGCGGCGTTATCGGCGACGTCGTTTGTCGCAAGGAACACGTAACAATTTTAAGGCTGCATAGTTTTATGATTAGTCAAATTCGACGCGACGCTCCCTTTCGAGCGTTCAAAGTCCAGATACGGATCGGTTCGCGTTCCCTTCGCGAATAGAAATTGCGTAGCGATCGATCGGATTCGCTGCTTCGGCATTTGCATACAATCGGCAACGCGTTTGCTCTTGCGCACGCAACGAACATCTCTCAACCGGCTGTCTTACTTTTACGTTTTTCGCATCGTTCGCCGAGTTGTAGCTTAATTCGTTGCATATTTAATATTCCGATAGTTGCGTATTCTCGAATCTTGAGGATTCCCTCCTCGAAGGAAAATGTTGGTTCGACGATAGCAAACGAAGAAACGAGAAGACCGAATAAATCTCGGATAAGAAGCTCGCGTACGGGCAAATAGTCGGTGAAATCGATAGATCGGTAATGGGTTGGATGCGAATGGATAGGTAAGTCAATAGATGGACGGATATATAGATAAACGGCTGGATGGATGGGCGGATGAATGGATAGATAGATAGTTAGATGGATGAATGGATAGACCGATAGATGGAAAGATATAGCGCGTAAAAGAGGAAGAAAGAGGGAGGTATGGCGCGACGCGTCATTGCACGCGCACGTGCATTGATACCGATATTTATGCCCGCCAGTTAATCATGTCAAAGTCGTTTGATTTGTCGTTGGCTTTTATGGAGGGGAATTAAAACGTTCATTTCGCCGCAGACACTGGGCAACAGTGTGTTCGTCCTGCGAGCGTTGTCGGCGTTGCTGTTGTCGCTGTTGTCGCCGTTGTCGCGATTACTCTATGAATTATTTTCTGGACAACCCTTGCGCGATGTAACCGAATGGAGAGGGGGAGAGCTTTTTGGAAAATTACGGTAGCCGGTTTACGTGGAAAATTCGAACGTTTGACGGGCGCGATCGTCGTTGACAGGATAAACGGAGCAACGATCGTTGGTCGCGAGAGGCGAGACCGTTCGCGGAGAAAGGTGAACCCGAGAAACGTCGCCAGGAGGAAGAAGGTTGGTAGGTGGACGAAGGAGACGGTCCCTTGCGAATCGACAGTCGTCCGTCAAGGCGGTAAGTGACGCGACAAGACGCGGGACGACGGGACGCGACGCGACGCGACGCAACGAGTCCTACTATGCGAACAGAGAGTGAAAAGAAGCGAAAGAGACGTGTTCTCGGTCTCTCTGTTCTCGGGTCGAGAATCGGTCTACCGAGAATTCGAGGCGAACGAGAGAGAGGAGAGATGGACGAGAGGGTGCGGTAGAAGAAAAGAGAGGAACCTAAGGGATGGGGATGATGGCGGTGGTAGCGTGGGGTGGTAAAGGAAGCAAGGTGGAAAAGGAGGCAGTAGCAGTCGGCATCAGCTAGGTCCGCGCACTTCTATCACGTTGGGCGAACGGGCGGACAGCTCCGAGGCGATTTGTCTTTCATTTCGGGCTAATTTATTGCGCCCAAGCAGCTTCCCTTCCTCTCTCCCTTAGCCTCCCCCTCTCTTTCTCTCTCTTGTACACACACACACACACACACACACTCTCTTTTCTCTCACGGCGTTTCTTCTTCCCTCGAATTCTACCACTTACCCCTCTTAGTCCCTCTTTCTTTCTCTCCCTTTCTTTCCGCGCTCTTCGCCTCTCGTCTTTCTAGCGCTATTCTCGACTCCGCACCATTCAACCACGCCCCACCCAACTAATGTCCCACATAAAACTTGGTATCAGCGATCCTCAAACGGGGATTTACAATCCCTTCAAGCGCCGCTGTCACGATAAATCCTCCAGGGCGACGTCGATATATCTCGCGCGCGAATACTTCTGTCCCTAATGGATACCCCACGGTACATACAACGCGCGTCGAACCTGAAACCAGTCTAGATCTTTCGTACATCGCTTCCAGACTCGATTCTCTTCCTTCTTTCCCTTCCATCCTTCTGGCATGTTTCGCGCAATAACCGCGTTTACCGGTTTTCTCGAAAGTCGAACGTCGCGTTCGGTGAAATACCTTTTTCGCCTATCGGAAACGTCCGGTAGCGCAGAAACCAAAGTCAATTTGCTTATCGGCTAAGCGTCGAAACAGCGAAACAACTCGATAATTGTATCGAGCGCACGGTTTAGCCGGGTAAAACTTACGAGTCGCCGTTCGTTTTCTTCGTTCCTCGAGAAAACCGTAAGAAAGGCGTGACGCGCGAGATCGGACGCGTCCCTTTTCGAAGCGTAGACCGAGAAAGCGGCCAGCAGAGAGGATAAGAAACGGAGGAAAGGATCTGCGTGAAAACGCATTATCCAGGTTATAACGCCATCCTATTAGGGTAGTCGTCGCCGACAGTTAATAAGAATAAAAGCGCGCGTTCGTGCAATTAAGAGCAGTAATAAGCGCCTTAAGGCCAATAAGATGTTTCCTAATGGAACTAGCTAACAGCATCGAGGCAATTATCTAGGCGCGCGCATTAAAGCGAACGTAAAGGTCCAAAGTATACGGCATACTTTAATAGTTTGGTCGCGTTGATCCGATCGTATACGATTCCGATAAAAGATCGGCCTATCGCGCGGCTTCCTTTGCTTCCTGTTTGCCTGCCAGCTTCTTGGCTGCTTCGTAAAAGACGATCGTGCCGCGTGACACGGAACGCGAAACAACGCGAACGACCGAAACCGCGGCAGACGAAGGTATACATGTATATCGGTAGAAAGGAAAAGGAGCAAAGTCGTTCGAGTCGAGTCGCTTTAACGTTGTCGTAAAGGAGGCACGGAGCTAGAAGCGACACGGATAGACGGGAATAAAAGGAAGGAGGCGGCGAAGAAGAGACGGAGAAA